GTAAGATTTCAATATTCGTAACATACATACATAGTTTACACTTATAATATAGTATATGTTACAAATATTAAAATTCCACATGTTTACACTATTTTATTCTTTTAATTAATATCACATTTTTAATAGTTCTACTAAAATATAAGAACTATAAAAATATGAGAGTATAATAAAAGAACTAAACAAGACTGAATATTAATCACAAGCATTCACATACATTATATACATATAAAAATGTGCTCTAGATTTTCCTTCTGATATTTCCTTCTATTATTTTCTTTTACCCATAATTTATTATAATTCTAATTCTTTTATAAATGGGATTTTTAGATTTGTAACATTTGTAACGTTTTTATTAATCTAAGCTTAACATAAACTCCGGTTATTACGAAGACATTCATATAATGTAATTGTCAATTAATTCACGTACATCGTAGTGGTCGAACTTAGATTGGAGTGAGCATCTCTAGAGACATAAATAATTATCCAATAGCTGCAGTAACGTAGTAGTAAACGCATGCACTGCCGCATGCACATTGCTAGATTCACGTGTTGTACACGTACAATAGGTGGCATCATGAATTGAGATGTTAATCTTCCACATGTTACAGTGCTTCCTCTTACCGCGCCAAATAACATTTGATAATTGAGTTTATCAATTTATATACAATAAATTAATAAATCAGATAAGTAAAACTACTCAAGATTAGTCCATATGTTTTCTGAATAGTCGAATTGACTAATATTCGCGTAAAGTAATACAAATCAAATTTTTTGCAACTTTGAGCCTGAATTAAAATAAAATTTTTTCAAAATTATATTTGTGTACTATATTTCTACACAATATAACATTCTTTTACTTTAATTAGATAGTGCATTAGACGGGCCACAGAACAAAGTCCGTTAACGAAAGAGCATCTTTTCTGAAGGAAAGAAATGTTTACAAAGCCATGTACGTAGAATCGTACGGATTGGCGTCCGACGAATGGAAGAATTTCAACTTCAAAGGAAGAGTATTAAGTTTGTGATTCTCTTGGCGCTGCCTGCCTGCTCGCGACACAAAGCGGGCGCAGAAGATAATAGCGAAATAGAAAGATGCTTCCCACGACGTCGTTAGCCGTTCGACGTGTGGCTCTCGCGGTGAGCAAACGCTCGACAAAGAAAAACGAAGGAAGAAAATTACAAGTATTCGTCAAGTTCGAGTAATTTTAACTATCCGTCGCCTCTTCGGGCTCCTAATTCGCGTTTCAAAGAGAGCCGACGTTTTTCCGGGCGATGGTTTTAGCAGACTGCGGCGATAATCGAGCGGAACGCCCGACGAAGATGAATTCTATACAAAAAGATTTCGCGTCTACCGTCGTTTCGCGCTTTGATCGGCGTACCGTCAAAGCGACGTTTCGCTGTCTCATTTCAATTCTGTTTTACTTCGCCCGCATATCGATTTTTTTTCCAGCTTTTTACGTTCCTTCGATCCTTTAACGCGCGCGCGCGCGCTTCCAAACCCCTCCCAACTCTAAGACGAATTTTCAGTCTAGCGTGGAATATACCGGAAGATGAAAGAAAAGATCCAGTCATTAACTGTCGTCGCGCCGACAAAAGAAGATATGCCGAAACAAGGAGATACGGAGGTATTTTTTATTTAATTCAGTAAAAAACGACAGCGTCAAGGGAAGCAAAAAGTGTCAATAGTAATGGAGCAAAATTGCAATTAGCGCCATACTCGCCGGCGAATGCGCTCGTGCATTTCCCTACTTAATAAAAAATTATTTCTATCATTCAGCAGTCGAAGTAATTAATGGCGATGAAAACTATAATCCTATTATCTCATACGCCCAATTATAAAAACGCATCCGTGTACGCGATCCGCAACGCGCCGTCTTTGTTTGCACGGGCGAATTTACGCGTCCGATGATAATTAAGCTCCCCGATGGCCAGTTGATTTGCGGCCAGAGAGAGAGATTCTCATAGTTTACACCTAATGTACTTCGTGCGCGAATGTGCGTGGGTGCCGCGGTATGTAATCGTCGCAGCTTATCCGACCACGATGTATATATGCTCACGGATGATTATTGTGACAATTTCATTTCGCATTATAGTGGACCTTTCTCCCTCCCAGCCGATCGGCCAATGACTCTATACCGGCCGAAAACTGCCTCTCGCATCCCCCGACCGGATGCTACATTCGGTAAATTTCCCTTCGGGACATGTTCGGCGTGTATCGAAATCCCGTTTAATCGAAATTTCGAATGCGCGTTTAATCCAGCCCCGGCCACTTCGCCCCCAAAACACCCCTTTCTGTAACGGTCACCCCTGTCGCGCGCAAATACGTCCATAAAAAGAGTGTCTCTCTGTAGTTGCTGCAAACTTGGAGTCTGCAGCGGACGCAAAAGTCGAAGAACTCGAGGCTAAATTGCCGGTAACGTTTACCCGCCGGGATTGCGCGATTTTCAAAGCGATTTTTGCATCCGGTTTTCGAATTTGTCGACAGAACGCTTATAACAATACATATGAAAAGCTATTAGTTTTTTTATTGCGACGGTAAAGTTTATTGTAAACGCCGCGAGGCGTCACAGTATAAGTTTTGTCTGTTACAACTGAATGTAAAACCAACGAGATCGATTAATTTATGCATTTTTGAACAAACGTTCGATGAAAAATATTCTTATCATTATTAACCAACTCATACATAATACGTTCATTCGATAATATTGAAAAACGCGCTCGGTTCGCCTAAACGGAGAGCGTTTCTCCTCACTTGTCGGAATCGCCGGGCTGCCGACCAGAGCGACGGGAATGCATACATTTCAAATCGAGGACTGCAATAACACGCAGATTGTTGTGAGAATAAATTCCAGGCTGAATTCTCTCGACGCATCGTACCGATCAGCGGTTTTTTTTCCGCGGCGCATGATGCAGCAGCATCGGCGGACGCTCACAGCGTGAATCCGAGTAAAAGCAAACGAGCGCGACCAACGCCGACCAATTGTCTCGGCGTCAATCAATTCAAGCCGGTCAATTATATTTTCCAAAAATGCAAACGATTCTATGACGCGTCCTCTCTCCTTCTCGATCGCCCGCTCGCCCAATTTTCTCTCTCTCTCTTCCTCTCCCTCCTCCCCGCTCGCTCCCACCATTTTTTTTCTTTCAGGCAAGAATTTTTCAATATTCGCTACCTTCCCTCGGGATGTTCCGCGTATCGATATTCCATTTCGTCGGGAATTGAGCGACCGACGTACGGCGTGCTGACAGAGAGCGGGGAGGAGCGTGAGGAGAAAGAGAGAGAAAGTGTGGATAAGGCCGTAGTGGAA